CATGGCTGAAAGGGCGAGCATGTTTGGTGGGATGGGGATTCAAACCCGCGACCCTCAGATTACGAGTTGAGCGCTCTAACCACCTGACTATGCCAGGCCTCCCTATAGGTGGAGGGTTGCTGTGTGATCATTTGCATGATAGGATGAAGTTTCTCACATGAGGGTTGGTGTGAGTATCAGTGCTAGTGGTAAGTGAAAATTTGTGGCTATAGAGGGTTGTATAAGTCAAGAAAGGCTATTTATGAGAAGTGGTAAGATTTCATATTGGAATAAGTGTTTCTGATTATTAGATTTTGATTATTCCAACTATTCATGTAATCAAAATATTGACATTAGGATTTCTCATTATTATTCCTAATTAATTCAAGTGTGTTCAGTTTAATTGATTAGTCATAACTCACAAAAATATTAAATTAGTGAAAAATTAGTGTTTACAATTATTATTAGTTTCAATTATTCCAACTATCAAAATATCATGTGAGAATAATCAATTAGTTGAATGTAATCAATTGATGAGCTCGACAATCAATCAATTAGCAATGTCCAATATTGACCCAGACCTAATGTTGATAAGATCTTCCATCAAGTGCCAGGGCTCTTCAATGAGGACTTTTTAGTTAATGGTCAGAGAAGCACTTTCAACTTAAATAAAAAATTCACAATTTTCAGTTGAAATTAACAGATTATACAGTTGTACTCCTAAAAAAGTTTAAGATACATATAAAAAATGATAATAAGTCTTAAGCCTTTGTAATGAAATGTAAGAATTAGATTCCTTAGATATGTGATGAAAAAATGACAACAGAACACAAGTTTAAGATTTAGTAAAGACATGATCAGCTCCAGTTAAGGGTTAAACATTCAAGAGGTGCCAAGGAGCAGTCACAGTATCCCAAACTCATATGTCACAAGAGAAGTTTGGCTTTGAAACATAATTGTCTGTGACACATTGGTGTGTCACACACTGCATAACTAAAATTCAATTCAGATCCACCAGTGTGTCACGTGGTTCATAACTAAAAGTCAGTTGTGACCCACTGGTGGGGCACATGAGATACTGTTTTTTGTCAGAAATAAGCCAAAGGAAATAAGAAAATTTTTTGAATGAAAATGTCTAAGAAAAACTAGTAACTGTTATGGGGAAATTTATTTTAATGGAAATAAGGAAAATCCATTTCTTTAATTTAAAGTTGAACAATTTTTTGGTATTAATATTAGAGATTGTTTTTTTACTCAGTATGTCAAGAAAGCTATGGTGTTAAAGTGTAACATCCCTCAGACCATGTTATAGGTACTGAACAGGATTTGGGTTACTAATATAAGGTCAACAACATACTGCAACAGTAATTATAAATTATTGAACATCAAGAGGCCTTATAAAATAATAACATACTACAGTAGTGAACATTAGTTGTAAGTTATGGGACAACAAGAGATATTTCTTTTTCTTTGCAATTGACATAAATACAGAAACCCTATTTTTACACGTTTGATTTTTCAGAACTTTTCACAAGTCTCTGTATCAACCACTTTTCTAATACATTTAATTTTCCAGTAAGTAATAAAATCATAACTATACATTAATGTTTATTATGAGATCAGATGTAGGATATATAATTTGAAAATGAATTTTCAGGAAGCTGACTTTTAAAAAATTTCCAAATCTTATGCGGTGAAAAAAAAGGACAGAATGACTGATTTAAACAGGAATAATGGTAATACAAAATGATAAATTACTTCTAGAAAACCAACTACTATATAGATGATCACCTTTGGAAAGGTAACTTATTAACAATTAATAATAATTTTAAAGAATATTAACTTTTCTGGAAAAGTGGTTAATACAGAGGTTCACAAAATGTTTTTAAAAGTCAAGGATGATAAATTGTTTCTGTGCTTTTGTGCATTTAAAAAAAGAAAGCTAGAAGATAGTTTAGGCCTTTAAAATATTCAAACTGAAGGTTATATGAAGAAATAGAACATGACTAAAGAGTTCAACAGATTTTTTTTGTACTACTGACCAAGAAGATGAAATTCTTAAAAAGTTAAATTTTTATGTAGTAGGGAAGATAATTCCTTAAATATTATTACAGTTAAATAAAAAAAAATGCATCAAAAGTCCTACAATAGCTTTTTTAGAGATATGATATGAGTAATCCTGAAACTATGAAAAATTTAAGTAACGAGTTGGTTATATATTTTTGATACATGTAGGTCTACTGTAAGTTAGTCAAGAATAGACACATTTCTGAAGATTAGACAATTGGTACATTATGTGGTCAGAATTTCCAAGAAGAAAAGTGAGGATGCAGCAAATTACATGCCTATTAAATAGTCTGAATTCTGCTGTACTGAAATGTACCATTAGGGCTCATGCAGTAAAAGAATATGGTGCTACTATAGCATGTGGTCTACACACATACTATCATCATCACTGTTTTAACTTTCATTTATTTGTAATTGGCACCATTTATTATAAATAACGCTTTAAACTAATAAAGTACAAGATACCATTACATTATGTTTTGGGGCAAATATAATCAGAATTAAATAAATTCCAACAATCAAAACTAGCACAATTATAACCTAAATTTAAGGTATTATTTTGGAACACACAACTTATTAAATTATTATGGTTTGCTGAACAAAAACGTGGATAGATATAAATTATTTAGCAAGAAATTATGTTTTAGTAAATCAATAAAATGGTGATGATGATAGCATCAGTGCAGACTACACACTATATTGTAAATATCTTTGTAGACCACATGCTACAGTAGCACCAAGAATTCTCAAAAATAACAAGTTCTTAATATAGCTTTAAAAGGGAGTTTTCTTACCTAACTATTACTTTTTAAGATTTCTGATAAAGGATTTCGGATGATAAGACAAAATATGACACATTTCTTACATTTTTAAAATATTCTGTATCACATACAAGACTGATTACATGTTTATCATATATCATGTTTAATAAGACAAACCAGTTATGAAGCTTATAACTCATTCCAGTACAATCTATAATAATAATAATAATAAAATAATGAAAATACAAATACACACACACCTGCCCTTATCTGTAAGACTTGACGTGTACAGATGTCTTTCATCAAATGGACAAAGACCTGGACCAGCTTCCACCATACCAGCAGAAATAGCTTCTTTGTCAAGTCCAGTCCGAGAATCTTGATATGGAGTACAAATCACTTTAATAAACCGTCCAACATCATCAGTTTCTGGGAAATAAAAATAACCTTCTCCAGCATTCACCCATTTTTGATTATTTGCTTTGTTGTTTATTCCACCATTCACAAGTTTTTCTGCAGTTTTGTACCACACAATTTTTGAATCCTCTTGGTCTGCAAACTCCAATTCTAGTTTTGGGTACAGAGGAAAACCTGCCATTATGCTGCATGGTAAATTAATAGATTTCACATAGGGTGCATTAACACTCACCTCGTATTCTATACCAGCAACAGACAAGACAGCTCCATTTTTCCATGCATCACAGTTTTTTTCTTCTTCACACACACAAGTTCCTTTGTATGTTAGCTGAACATTAAAATCATCAGTTGTACTTGTATCAGTTTCACTACTTGTTTTTTTCTTCTTTTGTTTCTTTGCAATTGCTGAAGAGATGTTATTGATGATCCGAGAAAAAACACGTCCTAGATCTTCAGTTTTGGACCTTTTAAAGTTGAATTGCCGCTCAGGAAGCTCACTTGTGCCAAACTTAAAAGACAAATGTATATCCTCATCATCTTCCCTGTTCTGAACAATAACTTTAGGCAATGTAGTCATGCTTCTCCTGCTTGTATTTCTTAGTGTTGCTATTTTCAAAACCTGAATCAAGCTTCCTCGCAGCATTCCAATCTATACATTCCCTAAAAGAAAGTTCAGACTTACTTTTCAAAGTTTAGCATCCAGCATACAACTAACCTTTCAGATTATTACATTAAAGATTTAAAAAAAAACTGAGGATATAAGTTAACAATATTACAGTAAGTATCACAAAAAACAATAACAAATAATTTGAAATATGAGACTTCAAAGAACTTCTTTAAATCCTGTAGAAATATAAAAAATCATAGAAAAAAGTGAGTATTTAAAAGACAAATATTACAATCTTTCAAATCCAATACAAATAATAAAGTATTTTACTACTTGCTATATTAACTTAGTTATTGAAAAATTGTTTTTCTTCTCTGTTAATTAACCACAAAAATGTGGTTTGTATATAATCAGAATCAAAATGTACTGAGGAGAATGACTTGCTTCTGAGCTCTTTAAAATTTATGACTGTTTTAGAAGAAGTAAAACAAATTTTAAAGGAAAAGTTGGAACCTCCATTGATAAGTTGAGAGTAAAATAAGTAAATTAGACAGATAATTTTTCAAACATAACATATGGATATCAAGGAACCATTTGGTCCTTCAAGGCTGTCCTTTTATACACCTACCCTCTAGAAAAGAAAAACATTAAATACACCCTTTAATTTTCAGGAAGTCACCAGCTCCCTTCTTAAACTCTTGTATAAGATATCAGCCTCCATTATTGGCAACAGCAGCTTGTTCCATAAGCCAATCATACTGTTAGAAAAAAAAACCCTTCTTACCTGGAACCTTGTCCATATCTTATGTTATCAAATATATGTAAGTTTATAATCATGGCTGTTATAGCAAAATGAGAAAGGAAATACTTTTGGGGTTTTATAGAGAAGAATTTATTACTTAGTGTTAGGGTTCAGAATGTTGTATAGAATACTGAAAGTATATTAGTAGGAATGAGGAAGATGATCTTTTTAGAGGAGTTATACTTAAGTAAATCATCTATTTAGGATCTTTAAGAACATAAATGTTCATAAGTAGATATTTTTAATAATTCTGACTTGGGTCATCATCTAGAGGAGTACATCTGGACAAACATGCAAACTAGCTAGACTAACAAGAGGGGTTTAAAAACACACCAGAGCTGGTTGCTAAGGGATCCCACTTAATGCCTTTACTGAAGAATATTTGAACATGTTACAATGAAGTATTCTCATTAACACTGGAATAAAACACTTTGGCATTCAGTAAGTACAAAATATTAGACTGTTAAATGTACATAAAAAGTACTAAGTCAAGGCTTGAGTAGCTGTTATATGTATTGTGTTAGATGTTCATGAAACTGATAGTTTTTTTAAAAAAGACAATACAATTTAGAAGCTTCTACAGTCATGGTAGTGGCTTAAAAAACAAGGTAATTTTTTGTTTGACATAAATGATCTTAATGCTTTTGAGAGAAACTGCATCATGCAGCTTGATAAAAATGTACAGCATTATTTTTGGCTTGAGTTACCTGTCAGAAAAGAACAAAAGGTAGTAATTATAATTTTATACAGGATTCTTGGCCAGGTCATTGAAACAAACATGAATATGTACAAGTAGGTTAGTTAAAAAGAAAAAAAGGTTGCAAGAAACATCTATTTTACTGTTATGGAAAACAAATAATTTCTGGAGAAATTTACCTAGAAAATGTTTTCTTTATATCAGACTTAAAAATTTGTTGTGATTGCAAGGAACTGATTTCTCATTACTAGGCCGGTGCTAAATATCACACTCAGTGACAACAACAATCAAATTTTGTGTGTTTCAAACATGGTCAAAATAAACTTTAATATGTTGGATGTGACATTTGCTCCAGTTTCTAATAGTGAAGATTATCTATTTACTCTTGGACCTGTCTCTTGCATAATAACTATTGTTCACTCTATTTCTTAGTTAATTAGACCTACATATCTCATTATCTGTAGCATAACTTTTCCTTGGAACCATCCTTGAAAAACTTTCAATCTTTGTAATTGAGCCAACTAAAGATTTTACTTGAACATGTATGGCTTTAGACCTTTTATCTATTGTTATTTAAATCTGAGTGATTCCAGAATCCCTACACAACCTCAGAGTAGTCACTGAAAGGGGCTAAGATATCTTTTAGAAGTATTGCTAGGGAAACATGGATGTGTCCTTGATTATTTTTTGGAGCAAAGTCAATTGAACTATTTGCTGTGCCCAGTGCAGGGAATCAAACCCTGGATTTTAACAATGTAAGTCTTTAAACTTACCACTGTCCAACTTGGGGACAGGGATGTGTTCTTTTAGGAGTTTCTTACAAAGAGAAACAAGATAATTACTTAGTCTTTGAGCTTGATTACTCATAAATTACTCACTGCTACTGTTTTGTTGATAAAAAAAAGGAATGTATATTCATTAATACAAAAATATTTCTAGTATCACAAGCATTTGCCACCATCAGGAACCAAATGTGAAACCTTACCCACATTTAATGTATAAATATATCTAACTACTAGACCACAGATTATATATATATATATATAAACAAAAAAAGCTAGGAAACAATTGTATTATATGAAGTTGACAATGCATATGAAATACTATTTTCTGACAATGACAAAAGTATGATAAGAAATTTTATTAAAAATAGTTAAAAACATATATGATAAGAAAAAGTATGCTAAATTGTATTCTAAAAAAAGTAGACAAAACAAGGACTTTTAACAAGCGAATCTGTCCTTTTCTGAAGAAATCAAATCCACATGTAATGATGTATTTCTCAGTTTGTTACATTGGGTTATCATAAGTGTAAATATATATATATGCATAGCATAAAATACACAAGAGCTTATTGAAAACCAACAAAATATGACTACAGAAAATACAATAATGTGGACTGTGTATTAGTTCCCAACTTGTCATTGTAATTTTTTAAGAAAGAAATACATATGACAATGACAAACATTCTGTATTACTATCTTGCAGTTTATTTTCTGAAGTAGAAACACAACTACCTACAAATTTGAAAGACAAAAAGGTAGGGAAACTCAAATAGATTGGTAAGTTACAAGAAATCATCAGTTCCTGGAATCACATGAAGGTCACACAGGAAATTAAAGCAAAAGGAAGATACATTTCATTTAACTTGAACACCAGTGTACACACAAGAAAAGCCTAGGTAACTCCTCCAAATACTTTTTTGTCACTCAATAGCCTAAAAAGAAGTCAAAGATACAAAAACATAAATGTAAGTAGCTACTGAATGAATTGAATAATGTCTAGCTTATTTAGTAATTCATTTGTTTTTGTGTGTACAACAGACTTTGTTTCATTTACCAAAAGACTGCCAAATTTTGTGTAGATATCCATAGTAAATTTAGAATTACAGTCAATGTTCCTCCTCCAATACAGGATTGGTCTAATGAACTGTTCACATGCACATTAGGTTAATAAGCAGTATTAACATTCTCCTAGTCCTAGTCCAAAGTTAACAGCATGAATGAAAATTTTTCTGTGGTGTTAATGCCATTGGATAAGCCTGAGGTGATGAGATGATGGTTGTTTGACAATAATATTATTACACTATAGCACTGATAACATCAGCAATTAGCAACAGTATTAGTACTACAGTAATACTGTAATCTAGTGAGTCACTAATAGTATTACTAATACTAGTTCGTAACATAATATTTTGGGACAACATGGGACCTGTTGGTCCATCTCGGCTGTTCCATCCTCAAAACTAAATTAAAATAATTAAAAGATATAATAAAAAATTTTTAAACCCAGCTATTTTCATTCATATACTTATCAAGCTTTTTCTTAAACTTACTGCCTCTACAACATCTGAAGACAACCTATTCCAAAGGCCAACCACCCTGTTAGAAAAATGAAACTGTCTTAGCTGAAGATGACTCCTACCTTGCCAAAATGTATGTGTCCCCTAGTCCTACTATTCTCATTGTTAAATATAAAAAAAAAGCTGATACATTAACACTATCAATTCCCCTTACTATCTTAAACACCTCAATCAGATCCCCCTAACTCTTCTTTCTTCATGAGAAAACAATTTGAGAGATTTCAGCCTCTCATCATATGATAACCCCTCCATCCCAGGCACCAT